TAGGGCTAGAGATAGGGTTAAGGTTAGTGCACGAGACTAGGTACCCCTGGAATTTAGCTCAAGGCCACCCGTATTAGGGTGTTGCCTATTCCCGTCTCCAATCGAAATAGGTGGAGACAGATGTGAGCGAACTGGCTCGCTCGCGTGCCATACATGCGTCGGTTTCCACACTTACCCGGACCGCACGTTAAGATGGGGCCTCCAATATCACGTAGGGGAGAGACACCATACAAACAACATTGAGGAGGAGTCATCTTAGCCTGACCCTCAGCCTAAAGGAGAACGAAATTATCCTGTCTGTAGGCAACCTTTCAAGTCGCGATTAGATTCGTGCCGTTGTAGTTTAAAAATGTGCCCGCTCTATCACAGTGAGAAGAGTTTACTCTGCACCTCGACTGGATTTATCGCACTCTTTCTTCCTTCTTCCATGCGCCAGTAGCAGGTCTGTGTCAAACCGACTGCATAGGGGTTGATACATTAGTTGAGTTGTTGCGTAGCCTTCCGTATAAGCGAGCCAAATACGTGTTGACCGCTTCAATAAAACAAACCGGGCTTCGAAATTCGCCTGTATAAGAGTTAGTTTTATATGCCGGAACAGAAACAATGCTAATATTTATTAGTCGTGCGCCGGAACGGTCTTTTTCATAACTAAAAGATCAAAAGACAGGATTTGACGAGGGCACAGTGTTCTCTAAACAGAAAACTAAATATCCCGCTGGCCCTCAATGGGTTGTGACTGTCGTACAGAGTTTTTTTTTCTGAGGCGACCGCTAGCATTCCGGTTGCGATATTATTTTAAATCGAGGAAACTTTTACTAGACCGCAATTACTAACTTTAGCTAATGAGAAGCAATTTCAAAACAACGTTTAGTATAGACAACTGGGGGCATAATTAGTAGTCTGCAATCAGTCTCTTCGCCTACCTACGGGAGAAGATTATGGTACTTCTTGACCACACTTTGATGAAAGTTGTGACTTACTTCTCGAGATAAATCTTTTCCGCACACGGAGGAATATTTATGTCAAGGATTTCGGATGAGTTAATCGAAGACTCAATAGCGGCACATTTTGGCTGACTGATTACGTCCGCTCTCTGTTCATTGGCTGGACTCAGAGGCATGCACCTATCTTTGCTGACGCTTCGGCTCTGCTTGATACTGGAATTGGAGGTTGTTCTGCGAGTTATGTTGCCGGCAGGGCGGGAAGTTCGGCACTGTCTGTCGCGGTGCACTTTCCTCGGCGAGCGTGCTGAAGGCAATGTAGAAACCAGCGTTAGCCAAGGTCGTCTAGGTGTACGATAATCTCCCCAAGGGCTGTCCGCAGGTACCCAGAAATCCGTAATATTTTGGCCTCCTAGAAAACGCCTCCCAACAGTTATTCGTATGTAGACTCAGTATGTAGGTCTGGCGAGTCACCTAGTCTTATTTTGAAAAGCGTTACAAAATGTGGGCTCGCGTACGCGGATTACATCTGATATATCTCAACCTTCAACAAGAAATTTTGCCAAATCTTGAATAACATGCAAAATAATCTTTCTTACACTTATTCGATAGAAAATAACGTCCTCTTTAAATTTTACACTTGAAGAAGGGGTATCTTTCGGTCTTAAAACGGTTTGTAATTATGAGATTTTTAAGGCTCTATAATGTCTATCCGGATAGCATGGTATCTGTCTGTTTAATAATGTCCCCCATGAAGTATAGGACATAGTCCCCACTCGTTGCAAAATGTTGTGAGCACTGTGTTGTTTCTGATCGGTGGCATAAAAGAATGCATGTTTTTCCTTATCCTGAAGGTATACAGCTGGTGGAATGAAAGTCCTAAAATCTAATGCAACTGCAAATCGGGCTCAAAATAATTCTTGAAGTGAAAAACTTTTCAAAGCTGTAAGACACACTTTCTTCGAAAATAAAATCTGAACAAAACATGATTTGTTACCAAGCGAGTGCAATAAAAAATACCTGTATCATGTTTTGTACAAAATATATTTGAATCTGTTAGGGCATCGAAATCCAGTAGAAAAAAATGCATACTACTTAAGTAGTCAGTATTTCCAAGTGCGGTTGTCGCATGCGGTTGAAAAGGAGTGGCTTTTAATGACTTTACTTGCTTTAAATTGAAAATGCATGTCCAAATGTTCCCAAGATAGAAATATGGGACTACGATCGAATATGCAGACCCCAGTTTTTATTACGATGACATGCCTGTTTATTTTATACAGGTAGGCATGTGCTATCAAGACTGCATTGCTGGCTCATCTGAAGAAAATAATTGAATTAGTGACCAAGGCTAAGGTTAAGTTAAAGATTAGGGTTAGGCCGAAAATTGGGGGTAGGGAAACATTTAGGGCTAAATTAGGTGTTAGGGTTAAGTTTACCCGCCGAATATCGTCTCGTCCAATCTGGTCTTTTTTAACCATTAACCTTGGATTATCCGTTTTCCACCCATTTGCACGTCCGTAACATGCGTCTTTCGAGTCGGGCAGTCTGTTTCGCAACCGCATTGAGATAATATAACAAACAAGTAGCAGAAACGTGTGTCTTCGCACTGCCTACCACAGATTACTTTAGTTGCTGCCCTACCGAAAAAAATTATATTAACATCCTTCCCGTAGTGCAGGAGTCCCTGTGTTTTACCTTCTCAGTGGGCTTACATGTCCATTCGTCGCCAAAAATTGTAAAATGAAGACGGTGGCAGACAGCCCACCTCGACATCTGGCTGTAAAGGACCGAGTTGACCGGCGTGGACCAGAACGTGGGTGACTGCCTGTTACTCTACCGAGCAGCTGCAACCTCGGCAAAGGTCGAATCAAGGCGAGTCTGGGAGACAGGTCAAGATGAAATTGCCTTCCGGCCACTACGGATACAGCTTTCATTGGCGGTGACCTGCTGCGCCGTGAGGAGGACCTCCTGGAAGCTCTCTGATCACGAGACAGAATTAAATGACTGCATGTGTCTGCGCCGGAGGTATACAGCGTGCCAGAATTGGCTGACCCTGGGAGTTGTAGAGAAATACAAGCGACGAATAAGGTTACGGTGGTCATTTAATAATATCATTCATGAGCTCTAGACACAATCTTTACCGTCCATAAAATATGATGCTGAAAAACCAAAAGTAGCCTATAAATTAGGGACAGACTCCACATCGATATATTTTTTGCTTCTAATAAACCAAAGGTAATGGGGAAGTACAGCTATACCTTTGCTAACAGAGACGAGGTTGCCTACTAAACTGTTCCAAACAATTGGGACCAAAATAATCCTCCACGTATTTAATGAACTTGTTTTAAAAAACTAAAGTTCGGCTGGAATTGAAAAACGTTCCTCTGGCGTTTACGAAGCCAAAGTAGTCGACAAACCATAGAAGAAGGCCTAGCTCTGAGTTACGCAACTGGAGCTGCTATACAACGGTTAGCTCGAATGCTATACTTTAATGGGATCCGACGAAATATTTTGCGGGGAAAAACAATTGAAATGTACAAAAAAACTGTTAACAAAATTTGTTATGTAACCGATGGAGGCTTGATCTAGTGCGAAGTAGTTTCTCAACTGTCTCTTATCCTGTAAATTTTGAGACAGCTACTCTTGGGCGTCCTCCATCAACGTTAAAAGACCTGCATTCTGGTTCCAGTCACCATAGGCTTTATAGTTATAAGAATCCTTCCGGGCGTGCAAGGGATGTGTATTCCCATCATTTCACCTTTCTACAAGAATGATTAATGATGCCGAGTTGGAGTACTAATGATTGCTCGTGAGTTGGTTTACATTTCGAGAGAGTTACATTGGGTTTACAACGCTTATTTTCCTCCCATCACATAAACACGACAGTTCGATCGTCGCAATCGACGTCACCCACTGCCCAACTAGGTGGACTCAGCAGCAGTGACCTGCGAGTGAACTAATTTCCAGTAAAGTAGGCTAGCGCAGCACCTACACCTCTCTTTCCTCTCCCGTCCAAAATATTACTGTGGTAAGACAAGGTCAAGGCAGTCGGAGGGAGGGGGGGGGGGTTAAATGGCTAGCAAAGCCAGACAATCCGTCTACTCGCTCAACATACACAGTCTGGCCTCCCCTAACAAGTCACAGATAACATCAAAGGATATAGTTTCCCCTTAAGTGAAATGGACCTGATCAGGGACGCGACTCTGCGCCCGTCGAATAGACGATAGCAAAATGGAGCGAGATGGACACTGCTATGAAGAGACGTCACGTATGTGCCTGGTGTGTAGTAGTTTCGTGTGTGGCGTACAGTGTGAAGATACAGTGAGGTGTGGACATGTGTCCGAACTCTGTTGTTTTGCTGAAGACTGCAATAGAGATGCATATGACCGAACTGACCTATGCGATGGCCGAAAGCCCCGGGTACTGTTGTCAGGCGAGGCGCATGGGACACGACGTATGTCAGGACGGTAGTCTTGACCACGCTACTTCACGGGGACGGAGACCCGAGCAGTACGAAAAAAACAGGCGAGGAAACCCAATCATTTTCACCTAAGCTGTCTTCTCAGAATACTAAAGCTGAGGTGGCTGGCAGGATTCTGGACACGGAGGTCGTAGAGCGGACCAGAATCTTCAGCATCCACATCCTACTGAGACAACCCTGATTGTACTTGATCGGCAATCTCGTGAGTATGGAGGACAAGCACCTATCCAAAAACTCTGCTACTACGACGTCTCTGCAGATGCTCGCTGATAAGAGGTACAATAACGACGCTATAGAGACACCCTGCAGACTTTCCTAAGGACCTGAAAATCAATCCGAAGACCTGTAAGACCTCGCTTAGGATCGACTGACCTGGAAAACAGCAGTGAAGATTGGGGCAGCAATTCACGAGTCTGGCCAGATTGCCTCGGCCAAAGCCAAAAGAACGACTCACAAGTCGTAAGCGCCGCGGACCCACAACCGTTTGCATCGTTTTCGCGCAGCAAACGGACATTCTGCGTGTGGATGGATTTCGTCGAACGTCTTTGGGCTTAATGCAATAATGCTATGACAATATTATGTTTTACGACTCCGAAAACGTCTCCAATATTACCATTAACGCAACCTCCAGGACGTTTAACACGGAGACTGCCACCGACGATGAGGAAACACCCGATGCTCAGCCACCGCCGCTGCCGACGCCCACCACCAACCCCACCATCAAATTCGCAACTCCCGCGTCGATAATATCAATGATTACCACCACTCCCGCTTCCTTCAACTGCAAAAATACTGCTAACGCTCCACCGCCCACCATCGTAACCATTACCACCACCGTCCCTACTACAAACAATATGGGCTCGATCCCAACCTGTCCCCGTTGCGGTCGCACCCTCATAGCATGCGTAGGCCGGGTCGGTCACTCGCGAATCCATCGCACTTAGACGGCCAAACCCAGCACCAGGAGCACCAACGTATCCCCACTGCACCGACCTCACCTAATTACACTGCTTACAAACATTCAGCCATCGCATGGAAATACCCTGCTACTTGCATATCTATGGCGTCGAAATTCACCGCAATGTCGACACATCAAATCTACGAGGCACATTTGAACACTCCCCCCTCCCCGCCACCATCAGCGCTTTCAACTTCCCCATCCATTAGCACCAACACCTGCCCACCTCACCAGCCTCAACTGCTTACACTGCCCACAACATCCCGCGTCCTCGGTGCTCCATCATTTGTGACGTCGAACTGATATGCCAGGGCTCCTGACTTTGGTTCACTGGTTGCAGTACGATGGATTTGTAAGTGACCGACCAGACCGATGCGTTATTCGAAGTTTCGATTGCGACGGGGAGGAGTTGAAACTGGATTCACTCTGTTGGTTGGTGGGGGAACTTTTGGTGATTGTGGGCGGGATAGAGGAAGTTTCCTTACTGGTGACATCATTGGCGGCGGTAGTGGTGGTGGCTCACGAGATGATTGGTGAGATTGTCGCTGCGACACTGCACTGGGTCCACAGATGTCCAACGAGACAGAGCATTGCTCGGAATGTCTGTTGCCATTGTGGACAAGATGAACAAGTTTGGATGTTTGTGTAACCGAATCATGGCACATGAGTCACGAGGGTCCCATTTTGTCTTGCAAGCGACCATTCTGTTCGTTTCGAAGACGGCTTTGCACTACGTCTGACGACTTGAGCGACGTCCCCCAGACATCCTGATTGAAGTTTAGATGTTTGAGGAAAGTGTTCAAGATGAACTTATAACTACGCTTTTGTCGGCCTTGTCTGTAGGCCATCCTAATAGTTGCATATTATAATTATTGCCCTAATAGATTCAAAGATACTGTATTATAACTGTCTGTGGGATAGAAGATCATTATCTATCCCTACCACACGGGAGCTCCACCGGAGTTGCGTTTGTCCCAACTTGGCGTGGATATTGAGGACACCTGATCTTTCCATGATCTCGTAGTCTACGATGCTTCCCTGCTACCCAATCCTCAGTATATACGATAAGCAAGTGATGCGAAAACGCATGAGTTTTCTTGCTGTACTGTCATTAACAGTCCACATCTTCACCTCCTACTAGAGCAATATCAGGACAACAATCCTGCGCATCCTCAAATTTGAGGTACGTACGGTCCGATCCTTTCTAGGACGTCCGTGTCTGATATCCTGTCTTTTTATCTCGCTTTTAGTATTCTTTGTAAGCAGCCGGGGTGCAGTTGTCTGGGCTTTCTTTGCTGGCTTTACTAGACTGTCCAGGTCTCCTCTCCGCCCTGCAGCGCTGGAAGAACTGAAACCCTAAACATCCTCAGCTTTATGCTGAGTAGGATGCCACGACTGTTTCTGACAGTGTTTTGGCTGACCGAAAGCTTGGCTGGCTTTAAAGACCCGGTTTTGCAGTTTCATCAGCGATACTGATGTTTCTTTAAATTTTATATCTCGGGCACGGAAATTTGTCCACTGGCGTGCGGCAAGTCTCATTAATATTTCTCCTGATTTTCTCGTAGTCATCGTTCGGTGCTGCTTGGTGCACAACCACTATTTTCCCTGTTCTAAAGCTCAGATGGAGGCAGCCGGAGAAGAATAATTCTACGCTCCGCTGCATGCCCTCTTGCGTTGTAATATTTGATGCACAGTCATACCCGAACGTCGAATCTTAGACACAGACCTCCAATGCTCTCAAAGAGGCTTACATACGTTGCACAATGCGCTATTCTCCGTATGTTCGGTGGTCGATGTTGATCACCGCCAGCCATCACAGTAAACGTCTATAGGCTTGGCAGAGTACACGAGAGTGAATAATGTGGGAGCAAATATGCAGCACTGATTTACTCGTTCGTTGCCGCGAATGCTTTGAAGACTGTTCTCTTGTCCATGATTGGCACCATCACCTCGTCGCGTACTTGTCATGCCATTCGTGTTCATCGCTCTGTACATCCGGATTTCAGCATGATTTTCCAGAGTCCTTCGCGGTTCGCCTTACCAAAGGCCCTTGTTAGATCAACAAAGGAGGTGCACAGGCTGGTCCTCGGTTCGCAGTATTTTATTGTAATTAGCGGACCGCGAAATCCATTTGAGTTGTTTTATAGTGGTTGTGGAATCTGCTCTGCGTTTCTGGAAGGCGTTCGTGCTATATAAGGATGTCCGGGTGACTGAGAAGGATTCAAATAAAATTTTTATTTGCGATGTTGGGAAGAGAGATGCCTCTGTGGCTATCGCAGAAGCGTCGGTACCTTTTGTTTGTATACACCCTTAAAGATTTAGGAGTAAATCATCGTAGCCACGTCTTCCAAAACAGGGAAGTAGACTTGACAATGCGTTATGGACCATGGCAGTTTTATATTTAGATTTGAATTGGGTCGGTTCCAAGTGCATTTTCGCTGAAAATCCGTTCCATTGTTCTGGTTTACCCTGGAGGGGAAGACGGGCGATCGAAGTCGGTATTGGTGTCCACTTTAGGAAGTCGACTGACGCCTTCTGTGAGGACGGTGAACAAGCGGTTGAAGGCGCCCTGCAAGTGCGTGGATCAGTATTCAGTGATCCATGACTTTGTAGCTGCCACTCTCACGGTCGTTAGCACCGTTTCTTACTCATGTCGCCTTCAGCCCGCGTAACATGCGGGACTCAACCTTCGGCTTGCAACGCGTGACGCGGATCGATATTTCTTCCTTCACCGATTGACCGCAGCCAGACAAAGTGCGACCGCATGCAGTTCGGCCGAAACTCGTCTTGCGAGAAAACTAGCTGCAACTACGTGCGATGCTACTCGTACGCCCTCTGCCTCGGTCAATGCTTGTCCCTGCCTTCTGATTAGGAAAACTTTGAGTTGTCGACCCTCGAACGTATGACCACCCTACTGACGGTAGGGTTGTTCTATCCTGGTCGAGAAGTGGCACGTTCCCTTTAGCTTGGAGACTGCGAACAGTTTCTATGGCTTAGAAGAAATTATAAATCTTTCCTACCTCTGCACATCGTTGAATATTCTCTGCTTTGCGAGTCAGCCAGTCTGTCTGCATTTCCTTCAGACTGTGATCCACGAAGCTACGACATCTGAAGTACGCGGTTTTATTGGCGTCAGTTCTGTTGTTGACATGGATTGTGTGTAGTCTAAGGTCCTTGGAGGACCGACTGTGAACTGCTTCGTCACTGCTAGTGAGCCAGTCGTTTCGTTGTTGACAGGCATCACTAAGGTATTCCCTGGCGGTGGTTTTTGTGGACAGTCGTAACCTGACCTTGAGTTAGGAAAATCACTGTATTATCCGTCAGCTGGAAGCCTTACAAGCTGCAATGTTCAGGGTTTTACTATCGTTTAAAGGACGCACGCGCCTCAAACGTGCTAAATCAGGCCCACACTTTGAAACCTGCCTGTGTATCAGTAACTTGCTCTGGCAAGATTAGGTACAAGGTGCCAGGTATTTTCGACTAATGGTGACCCAAAAGAGGCTCCCTCGGCGGCGATCATGCAAACCACTTACACGCTAAATAAACTGCGTGTTGTGCTCCTTGCACAATGAATGGCACCACGCTCTGGAGCTCCCGATGTATTTGGGCTAGATTCTGTGAACTAAGAACCTAAGCTATTGAGATTCCTTGTCTGATAATGACAAAGCTTTCAATTTATACGACGATACTGGTCGAATGCTGACGATGTAACTTCGAGTCTTACATGAGAGACGGACATCATATCTACGTAAGAAAACACGGGGTTGAAAATGGTTTTTCTGTTCCTACTTAATCATTAGCATAAATTATTCAAACATGGTGTCACAAATTTCCGCCATATTCTAACTTGTTGTGAAAAAGGAAGATAAAAATAAAGTTATTTAAAGAAATAATACTTATGAGGATTTTAGGTATACGCGGATAAAAACCTACAAGAGAAAAATTGACTGAAAAGAACTAGCAAAATGTTAAAAACCAAGTTGCCCTGGAAGATAACGAAAAAACACTCTGGTATTTTTCAAAAGGACTACTTACGTGCAGACGATAATGGCATCAGGTGTCTGCCTCAACCTAAACAGAATGAATAAACATTATGACGTTGAAAAACGAAGGATGATATCGAAGAGGGGAAAACAACAGATTTAAAAATCAATACAAGATTTGACTGCTACAAGGAATTGATTTGATTAACGGATTCATGAACATGTTGAGATGAGGTTCCTTAAGTCAATTTCCGGTGATGGGTTAAAGTCGACAGTTTTTTGTGATTTGTTGGATTATAAACACAATACTATAAACGATGGAGGCGAAGTTAGCACAAACAGTCACCACTGACACGCCGGGGCCCACGTTTAGTATGCGGCTATTATTCTTCATAAACTGCACAGTTACATTACCCACAATCGCAAATACTGCTAGATGTATTCTAATTAGAGTTTTCACTGTTTAATAACGAAGCAATTGTTCCAAAGGAAACTGCGATCATCAAGCTTCGAAGATAGATTAAAATATCGAATAATGTGGCAGAAGTCCACAATTATACGAATTATAACGAACCTTTTGCTTTAATTAGGATAAAAAAGCGGTGGAGAATAGGACTTGAGTCAGGTGAGCCTGGGTGCAAACACGGACAGAGTAAACAGTGGGGCGGGAATAATTTTGAAATATAAAGCAGCCGGACAATTCTTGCCCAAAATGAGCTCAGGACCTTTAATTATCTTACTTTCACTTGAGGCCACTTTTGCCGGCTGTATGAAGTAATCTGTCTACCGCCTTTTCTGACTCGTAATCTTGCCGACATGCGTAAGAAACGTTGAAGTTTTTTATCTCTCTGCACCTACTCCATTTCAGAATAGTGGTTTAAGTAGCAACATTTTAGCCAACTATGGTGTGAGTAGTGCTTTAGAATTGCTGTGTTATAGACAAACCTGTTGAATATTTTAGACAGATTATGTCGCCTAATCTAAACATTTAACATTAAAAGGGGAAAGCTAATGAAAATATACTACAGATGCAGGAAGTAAAACAACGATGTATTGCTGCTCAGTTAGTATGAGATGATAAAGCCTGTTTAATGTCGTTTAGACAAACAATTTTTGAAAGATGAGAAGATAATGAGATCCATTTTGTTTATAAACAGAGATAGGCTAACACGTTGCTAAACTCAGGAAATGAGATATTTATTTGATAAATGTCCTCAGATTCCTAAATCTGTTAATGTTGGTAACAACGTAGAACGTGTCCAAAATTCGAAGAATATTGGACAGGTCGGACAAGTGGACTCCAAAAACAATACGTGCACGAAAGTTGAGATGAACAATGAAGTAAAATGAGAAGGATTTATGTAAAGTGCTATCATTAAGGCAACGGATAGAGGCGATGGAACTTCACCACAATATCACGACTAGCATACTGCATAAAAAGGGGAAATCTAAAAAGATAACGAGCCAAAAACAAAATATTCTAGGTAAATGTAAATAAAAGCGACAAAAACTTTTCAGAGCAACACAATGAGGTCGTTTACACAGGTATGTAAGTGAACAAAGCTGATCAAGATAACAATGTGAAGAAACAAAAATTTCATGCATTCCTTCCAGAAAACACTCTGTTTCTACAAACTGATAACACTAGGAGCACCATATCTGGAAATTGCACATTTTTGCGTTCTTTTTGCTATATACAGAGTTGATACACTTTTGGCTCAAGGTTGCTATAACCCCGTCTCCAGGAGACTGCTTCAAGAGATCTTAACCAGCTGTGAAAAACGTGTCTTCTGAATATCTGTACGTCCAGACCATTTGAATAACTCCTCTCATGATCATTCAAACTAGTGCATGGCAATAGGGGCAAGATTAACCAAATGCTTAATTATTAAATCTATCAATAATTTTACACAAAGGTGTAAGAATCGGGCGTTGCTCTCGTTGTCGAATCATGGAAAACTTATGTTTGCATGGTTGTTCTGTCAGAATCAGGCGTTGAATAGGGATAAAAAATGAGCAGTTTGATTTCGAAAATTTTGAAAATCAAAATGACTTTGACTTAATATTAAAACGCGATCCGAGCCGTATTCAGAAAACAAACGGACAGATGTCGTTAACGATGTACTAAGGTTTTGGTTGGTAAAGTTTTCGATGCGTCCACGAAGTTGAAAAGGCTCTTTAAGTGGCTGGGTTATAAAGTTTGGGGACTTCTAAGATGGTGTCGCATTACCAGGGGTAACAATTCACATGTCAGCCGATCCAGTTGGAGAAATTAGTTCATCAACTAAAACTGTGCATAGGCGCATTTCCTAGTTTAATTTCAGGTAACTCCGGTCACTTCGGATAAGAAAATTCTCTTGCAGCTAATGCGAGGTCCAATATTTTAATCCGCAGGTTGATGACATAAATATACTTATGTCATTATAACATCAAGCCTGGCTCTAAATGTCTATACACTCTGCAAACGAAAGGTAGTCGTTGGCGCACTTTGGTAGGCCACTGATATACACATGAAAAAAACGGAGATCTAAGAATGTAATCGTAAGGGAATTTGGTATAGACTGGTGAATAGAACGACGTAAGTGATCAAATACCTCGCGTGAAGGACGGTTGATAACTGCATTATCGACCTGCAAAACTTACGCTTTAAAAGCACCAGTTAGCGTAACAGTAGATATATATGGTCGTTGGCGTCTTGCCAAAGTTGCAGTTGTGCTATTAAAGGCACTTTAATTGCATGTAAACTTAAACCTTTTAAATCTAAAATTAAGCTCTATTTAAGTCAAATTCCAAGCTGGAACTACTAATAATCTCGACAAATGATGGCTTTTTGAATAATTAATCCCATATAACAGTGCTGCTGCTGACAAAGTCATTTTGCAGCCAACCAAACAAAAACCAGCTGTTGTAATTGAATTTGCCCAGGTTATTTTCCTCTGAGTTGCTAGCTTCCTTATTGTACATAGAAATTTGCGATTCTCACTGACATAGGACACGCGATAACAAATCACACGGAAAGGCAAGCGTAGTATTCGAAAATGTGCACCTTTGACAGTATAAACAGATCCAGGTCAGCCAGCTGACGTATGGAAAGGCTGGTTATGAGTTGTGAACATTGAGAAAGCAAGATTATAGTTTGAATTTTGTCTAATTTTCAGAATAATATTGCACCCTATTCTGAAACCAGTAGATCTACGCGGCTGTTATATTCGCTAATTAGTGGAGCAATAAAGTCCACAAGTCTAAACCAAGTATCACTAATTCACAGCTTACATATCAGCATCCACTGGTTTTTATAATTGTCTACGACAATAACCTTGCCGTTCGAAAAAACAGATATTATATTATTGAATGCCAGGTCTGTTATAAACGAAACGGTCCAAATTAGAGCCATTGTTCTCGAAACGACGCCTGATATTACATTTATGACAGAATCTGAGTCTCATTCTCTAATTCATGACTCTACCCTTCTCATAAACGACTTCAATTTTTGACGTCAAGACCGCGTAACAAGGCGTGGGGCGGTTATTTTCTTCATATTAGGTCTTACCTAAACACTCTCCCTATTACCTGTTTGCCCCCTTATTCACGGGTTACTTCTACTTTGCGTCTTTTATTCTTCTGCCGCAAAGAAAGGCAAGTATTGGCTGTATCTACAATCCCCCAAACTCTTTGGCCAGTCCACCATCGTAACCGCCTATGCTTCTCCAAATATAAGCTCTGAAGATGTGAGGAACAATTTCTACTATGACATGATCATCAGCCTGGCGACTGTGACAAAGACAGACAAGCTGTCTTTCTTTGCCAACTTCACTGCTCACGTCGGGTCAGATTAATCTGCTTCGGAAGAAGTAGTGGGTCCCCATGGGATCGGCGACTGCCACGAAAGCGAACCCCCTGTTGAAAACCTGTGCAAAACACCACCTCTTGCTGTACAACACCTTCTTCAACCTTACAGTGAGCGAGAAGAGCACCTGAATGCGCCAAAAACGTGGCGCTGGCACCTGCTTGACTGTGTTCTCGTTTGGAGGCGAGACCGTTTTCACGTGCTGATGAAAAAGACTGTATTTGACGATATAGGCTAGACGAATCACCACCTTGTATTCTCCGATCTGATTTCGGCTAAAAATTCGCAGGAGGCCACAAGGTAAGCGACCCGCAACCATGTTAAACACGGTGTGGTTAGTGTGTTACCTCACCACATAGATTTCAGCAGTCAACTGACAATAATCTGGATGAACTGCAGGCTTTGGACGACACCATCACCATGGAGAGACAGCGGCCCTTAATTGGACGTCATCCAATCCACCACCCCGGATATCTTCTTTCGCTCACGTCGTCATAATCTGAAATCGATTTCCCGAGAAGAACAGGCTGCACAAAGCCTCCATCTGCCGTCGGACTGATAAAGACAATGCTGCCTTATTTGCGGTCGAGGCCTGATGAAATAAATACAGGTGAAGACGCAAAACCCATAGATGGATCGGGAGGCCGAGAAAATCTAAGGATAGGCGAACCGCGACTGCTCAGCTCCAGCCGATAAAAACTTATCAAGAAACGTCTCAGATTCTGAAGTGCTGAACAGAGCGCCTCAAAAACAACCTTACCCCGTCATCCGACGCCGCCATCGGCTGGCTTCTCAAAGTGGAGACCAACACCGACACTGATCTTCCGCGTCCCCTGTCAGAACCAATCAAATCCGCGCAAGAGCTTCCCAATGAAAATGCACCGGCATCCGATGTCAGCCCGCCAACCTCTGCAGGCATGGCGGCTCTTGACTGATAAACAAACTGCCAATGTTATTTCAGGATATTTGGCGGTAAGGCCAAATCCCCTGATACTCCAAGGACCCATATTCGTCCGTCTCTACGGTCGCAAGGAAACCGGCAATGCTGCGGTGATAACAGAGGAATCTCGATGCCCACCGTTGCGGTGAAAATCCCGGTATTATCCTTCGCAATCGCCTCAATAGCCACCTGTAACAAGAACTTCTCACGAATGACAAAGTAGATTCCGCGGTATCACGGTCTCGTCAGTATGACGTTCCCAGCTAAACAACCGCAGGAGAAGTTCCTCAAAATGAACACAATGCATTGACTAGATGTTTAACGATGGTTTTTTGAAAATTATACTGACATTCGACTGTTCTGGACGACTCACGCCCATAGTGCGTCAGATCCACAACGAGCTGATGACTCATGTCACGGGCAGTGAGAGAGTTTCTGAAATATTCTTAGTAACCAGTGGAGGACAGTCGTTCTGTGCGCTCGTGCCCATCCTCTTCATTCTCATTTTCTCTGCAATGATTAAGGACGTCTCCCGTAAGGAGCGCCCTGGGATCAGCATCCTCTGCAGGGCCAGCGGTCAATTTCTCAATATCTAACGCAAGCAGGCCTCAAAACGTCTCTCCACGACAGCCGTTTACGACCTACTATTCGCGGAAAACTATGCGCTTATTGCTGTCCGCCATCACGGTCATCAGTTCCATCGTTAACCCAAGCTGCCTTAGGTCCACATGGAATGCCTTGGATCTGAGGCTTTTTTAAACCCAAAACAAACTCTGAATTCGCGCTCTTAGACTAAGCAGACAACCAAAACCAAGAAAGCCAAAGTGCAGCCGAAATAGATGAGTCTGGTTTAGGTTTTTTTGCTGTGTTCAATTGATAATTTTATTTAATGCCAGTTTACAGGCATTGTCAAGGGAAACGTTAAACACAAATCTGACCAGCAGCGAAAAAAAACTCCTGAGGTAAAGGAATAAAAATATAGTTGATGATGGTTTTTATGGTTTGGAGGGTTCAGTAGAAAAAACTTCTGGCGGCATACAAGATCGAGCTTTGAGGAATCCATGCTGAGCAGCTCTCAGTAGGTTATTCTCTGTTAAGTGACAGAAATGAGACTGACAGTGCCCAAGAGGTGCTCTAATAAACCTATTCTATTATAATGCCTAGCGAGTAATTCGTACGCGAGCGTGACTTGGTCCTCGGCTTGCCACAGCGTGACGCCGATTGATATTTCTCTCTTCACCGATTAGCCGCAGCTGGTCGAAGCCCAGATGCACTCATTACGGTTGGCAGTGGCTGGCGTGGTGACCAGCTGCAACTGCTTATTGAGATGTCTGTACACTTTTTCGTCTCAACAAATTTTATCCTCCAAAGTATTTTCCCCTATCTGTGGTTTGGGAAACTTTGAGTTGTTGACAGTCGTACTTCGGTACGCTCAACAGAACGACTGAGGCGGGTATTCAACGGGGCATATCCCATTCTACTCTCGTCTGTCTCCACTCCAGGCTGACCATAAGAACGGTTAATTAATTTCACTTCAGTTTATGAGGGAAACGTAGGTGTTGAAACTTTGAACTCCCTGTTTGTTACAAGGAAGCCAATTATATCAAAAATGTAAGCATTAAAACATCAAACGGTTACAGAATTTCTTTGGAACCTGTCAGATAAACGAATTGTTGCAGTTGATAAAAACATTAAAATTACTAAATGTACTATGCAATGGTCAGTTTATGCGTATTTCTGCTGTAGAATATTGGGGCGATTTCAGTTTCTGTAGGAGGCGAATTGATTGCGAATATTCACATTAAATGGACACGGGACATAATCAACTAAAAACAAACATTGCTGAAATACAGGCAGTAATATAATAACATCAATGAACTGCCAGGACGAAACGGTAAGACAATATCTGCCAGATGACATCATGATGTTCGGTGGTAAACTGGTCCAACTGGCGCTTAAAAGCCTCGACGGATGTGGACATGACGATATCTGCAGGCAAAGCATTTCAAGTCTTGACCGCTCTGTTGGAAAAAATAACTTTCGCATGTCCGGTCTGGAGCCAGTCATGCGAAGTTTAATTGGATAACCTCGAAAGTTCGCTGTGGTTGCTATATCCAAGAAGTCAGCAGGTAATAGACAGCGGTAGTGACCGCGCATTATACGGAATGTTTGTATCAGGTCCCCTTCAGCTGTCTGCAACTCAGAGGCAAAAGGCCGAGATTGGATAACCGTGTTACGTTGGGTAGTGAACCCTGTTCATTAACGAGTTTGGTTGCCTGACCTTGAACTTTTTCAAAAATGCTGAGGCCCTTAGAGGTCCGAGGTTTCCACGCTTGAATAATGAAATCTAACTGTGGCCGTACAAACATCCGAAAGAGTTTAGTGAAACAATCCTCATCGAAGGTAGAGAAAGCTCGCTTCACAAGATAAAGGACTGATATCGCAGACTTGGCTACCTCGAGCAATGCAGCGACGGTTTCATTGAAACCGTGACCCTCACGGCCAAGTCTTTCTGGGCGTCTACCGCTTGCAATGGTACGCCATTTAGGTGGTAAACCCTCCGGCTCGGAGATCGGATCTCACCGACTCGCAAAACATTGCACTTAGTCACATTAAACGGCAAAAGCCAGTCCTGTGACCACTTCTCGAGTCAGGTCGGGTCTGCCTGCAGTCGCCCTTACCTAGGTTCCTCTAGGCTTTGTATGCATTTATCGACACAGAGCTCCAAGGTGAGAGGGATTTCCTCCATAACCTCCGTTTTTATTGACTTCTTTTTTAGAGCTTATATTAGCCATGGGGTCTGCTGTTCAGTTTCTTTCAGGAAATAGGACAGTGGTCTCTGCGATGAATGTTCAATAGCTCAGTAAACCAGTCTCAGTCTTTGATTATGTCACCGGAAAAAGCTGATTCGCAGTTTATGGTGTTTAGTTCAGCTTTCATTTGACCAAAGTCGCCGCGTCAAATGTTCCTTCTAACTCTGGTGGCTTGTTCATACAGAGAAAAGGTGGAATACTCTCAAGACAGTACGCCGTGATCGCTTTGACCTAGGAGAGGTAGATACTGCAGCTCATCAATGCTGTCCAGCGATTTCGTAAGGAACATATCTGGGCAGTTTGACTGTTCTCCTACACGCGCTCTCATCGGAAACGAGACGTGCTGAGTAAGAAATAACCAGCGTGTCAGGCTCAGCAAACGTCGGTCGAAGGTATGCTCTGGGCCAGATGTGTAAGCTGCACTCCAGTTGCTAAGAGGTGCACTGAAGTCTTCCATGATTAAGACGTCGGACTGAAAAGAGAATCTCTCCAGGTTCTCAATCAGACGGGCGTCAGTGGTGGGATCATTTCTCGGCAGACAGTAGACCGTCAGGACGTCGAGGCCTGGTTAACCTGGTTCTTTTAAAGTTCGCCAACTTGCCTCAGAAGTACACGTAAATTTATCTGTTTTATCTGAGACTATAAGCCTATGTTCTACATACGTTAACAAGCCTCCTTCCTGACGTCCTGGCCTCTCTCTCTCCTAAGCAGCTGGTATCCGAGTATGGTTAACTCACGATCGTCTACGTGTTGATTTAACCAAGTTTCTGTCAGTGAGATTTAATCTGAGGATAGATCAGATAGATGGATGTTTAGCCCTTCGACTTTCGATAACATGCTCTGCACATTTGTAAATAGGAGTTTCAGCCTGCGATTTGTGGCCGTCAGAGAAGTGGTTTTGATGCGTCTGGGACTTTCGTCTACTATGTCAGCTGCGCGGTCATCCGGATAGGGCCCGTTCAATGAAATAATGGAGGGCACTGTCGGACTTGGTTGCGTAGATAACCAAATTCCCTAATCCTTCGCTGAGTCTCTTCCTCAGCTCTAAAACTAGAAAATGACGTTTCAGCCTTTCTGATGGCGAGTAATCCAATTGAAAAAAACGCCGGGGTTTGTGCCTTTTATTCTAAAGCGCCAGGAGATAATTAACCCGGCTTGTTCCTTACAAGCCAGCACAAATTTGAGAGGTTGGAATATGTGCGTGCTCGCTGATTGTTCGTCTTCCTAGATGGATGGCTTTGAGTTACTCAGTTGCCTCAGTGGGTTCTACGATGTTCTTGAGTAGGTCTTGGACAAGCGGTAGATCTTCCGAAAGCCGCTCTTTGGGAGTGTTGGCGTATGATTAAGGGGTCCACTGTGTCATGAGACAGTGCTTTCTGGCGATTTCGCTCGTAATTTTTTTGATGTATCGCTCTCAAGGGGGTGTGGTTCTCTAAGGGTATTAGACGGCAACGCTCAGCGCGGTTTGAATTTTGACTCGCATGAAGGAACTTTTCAAGGAGTTTCTGTTCTCACAGAGCACGGCTGTCTCTCCACAAAAAATGACTTGTAGAACACCTCACTGCCTTGTGCTCATCGACATATTTATCTTACGACCAGGACAACATTTCCGCGAACCTCGTCTTCTGCTAGGATTCGGTCTTGATCTACATCACCTACCGAACGGTTCTTAAAATCCAAGTGATTTGCTATTCTGCCGAGCATTGCAGACTAAGGCGGCGTTTTTGTGGACATTCTGCAAAGCAGGTCTTAATAAAAGTGGAAAAAGGTGAAGCTGGTGCATTCTGGGACTGGCAACTTTACGATGAAGTCGTTTGCTACAATAGGAGCACTAGTGGAGATATTCCTGTGTGTGCTTTTTATTTGATTCGAAAATAAATGAAAAAAACACGCTACCTAGGCAGTAATTTTTAGTAAGTGGAACTTCTGAAGATGGTCGGAAAGACGTGCATTCAAAAGTCGGCATCCTGAAATGATTGAAATATCATGGAGTTATGTTGTATGACAGTCAACCATATGTACACTTAAGTAAACATTCCAGCGACGATTAGATATGTTGGGACTAGTTTCGATTATTGGAAAATATCAACTTGCTTGGTTTAACCAGGCATTTTATTTTAAGGTAACGTTCCCGGTTAAGCTAAAAGAAATGGCTGAATTACGAATTAAGACTAAGACCAAATTTAAGGTTAAGTTAAAGAGTAGGGTTTAGGATAAGGTTATGGTTGAGACTAGTGTCAAATTTGCCTGCCGCATGCAGTTTCACCCAACTTGGCTCTCCTTAGCCAATGGATTATTCGTTTACTGCTTGTTTATACGCCCCTGATTCGCATCTCTCAAACTGCGCAGTGGGTTTCGCGCCTCATTGGGATAATCAAAAAAACAGAAGTGGGAGTTTTCGCAAGGCCTTTGGCGGAATTCGTTAATTTCCGCGCACATCTTCCCTACTGATAAAAGTAATATCAGCATCCACGCCGTATTAGAGTGGGCTCCGTTCTCTATGTTTTTCTGTGGGTTTACACTTTTAATTCTCACCAACATCTCTAGCCGAAATAGCATTTTTAAATATCATTTTGTATTTCGTAGGTTACGCCACCCAGTGCAGGGCCACCGTGAGAGAGAAACATTGCTCGCTCGGAGACGGGGTCGAGTCGTCCTGTCAGTTGGCGACCTTTCAGGCCACGACGGTTGGTGTGTCGTTGCGGGTTCACATAAGCCAGATTAATTATAGTGAAGAATGAGCTGATGTGCCATGATAATTTAACAACCTTGTATTCATTTCAATTAGTAGAATCTGCCAAACGGTATATAAAATCATGTTAGACCTTGCTTTAAAGAACCATCACTCTTCTATTTTTTCAAAGCTTGGGTTGGAGTGATGTGGTCGGTTTCCGTGGTATGAAGATATTCTCATAAATGTCAAAACTCTCCATGAAATACGTCATATGATGTAGGCTACTTTCGATTTTCTTGCCTATATATGTGTCAAAAACAGGTCCCTCACCGATTTCTTGTTGTAGCCTGGCAGCTAACTTTCATTTGGACGGCATCTTCGGGCTTTGCCAATGGCGCGGCCTGATATTACGATTGGTGGCTCCTAGTATCGAAAATGATGCATACAAAACATCTTGTCGGCGTAGTAACTGAGACGGCAGAAATCAAACATAACCAGAGGCTTTAAGCACGTCAATTTCCTCAGTGGGTTCCAAGATATTATTGATCAAGCCTTGAAAAAGCGTAAGATTTTCCGAAACCCGCTCTTTAGGAGCGTTTGGCGTTTGATTCTGGAAGCCCCTGAATAATGAGACTTTGCTCTCTAGCAATATCGCTCGTATTTTTTGTTGATATATCGCCCGGGGAGGGGGGTTTTTATGCTCGATGCCTGTTTTGACTGACTTGGAAAAAGCCGTTGTCACGAACGGTCTGCAGATTCGAGAAGTGCCTCAATAGCACTAATCGTGCTGGGCCCATCCGATCCTAATTTTTTTGGCGTTGTTATTTTTATACTTTCGCAACTAACTGTTATGGACGAGGCTGTTGTCGAGGTCTCTGGTTCGGGTTCTGTGGAGATATCACCTAAAAGCGGTTGCCCATTCTCATTGGACTTTTACCACCGGGTTCCCTCTTTTCTAGGATTTTCTGATTCCCGCGTTGACCGCTGTCGGTTCGTTTTTTCGCTACTCTTTCCTGCGCAGTCGTGTCTGTTAAAAAATAAATTTTTGAGGAGCCTCTTAAGTGAGGTTCTGTTGTTTTACTCCCAGTTATTCATCCATTGGAGACATTCCTATCGTCAGGTGTACCTAAATCATATTGTGGAAGAGTCTTTATCTGTTCGACCTATTTTACGAGATGGTTTACCATGAGGGCTAACAGCTGCAATTCACCACAAATTCTATTAGCGTGAGGTCCGACTGTACAAGCCGTATAATTTTGTAAGAGCCTTTATAACCGTGTTGGTTAGGGCGACTGGTCTTGGCCATCGAACGACTTTGCGAGGGTCGCGAGATCGACTCCGCGTAGAGTCGGCACATCCTAGGCAGCAGTGCACATGTTCGTTGTGCTTTCTTAAGTTATGCAAAAAGGGAAATCTACGGGAACAAATTTAAGAGTTAACTGCTGTATATTTGGTCTGCCGAAATATCTCTAGAGTGAAAGAACTGAAGGCCGATTCAATAACTATCAGATTTAATAGGTGATAAGGAACTGAATATAAAAAGCGCGAAAGGCGGAAGCACTTAAGAACAGCTTGAGACAGTGTTTTGGAACGGTAGGTGGTGTAGATCAAAACAAAATCGCCGCAGAAGATGAAATTTGCGGAATACTTGTCCTGATCGTAAGATAAATATATCGATGAATGCAAGGCAGTGAGGTTTTCTATAATTCATTTTTTTCTGGAGAAATAACCGTTTTCCGTGAGAAAAGAAACCGTTTAAAAAGTTCCTTTTTGAGAGTCGAAATTCCAACCGCGTGGCGCGTCTCAAGCGAGAATGATGTAGGATGGATAAGGCTCTGGTCATACGTCAAGCAATATCAAAATCTGAGAGGGAGGAAACTCGCATCAGTGGTAACAGCACCCATTTCAGAGCTGTGAGCCAGTTGGACTATTTGGGCCATAAAATCAAGCAGAACAGCGCAGTGGACGACGACGTTGTGTACCGGACCCCAAAAACATGCTAGGTCTTCGGATGGTTGCAAGCATCCCCTTGATCATGACGGATTAAAACTCAATATAAAAAACGAGATTAGCAAAGCTGTCATAATGACTACGTTATTGTATGGAGCGGGGACCTGGGCAGTACGAAAAACAGGCGAAAAAACCCAATCATTTTCACCTCAGCTGTCTTCGCAGAATACTAAAGCTGAGGTGGCTGGGCAGGATCCTGGACACGGAGGTCGGAGAGCGGACCAGAATCCTTAGCATCCACGTCCTACTGAGACAACCCTGATTGTACTTGATCGGCAATCTCGTAAGGATGGATGACGAGCGCCTATCCAAGCAACTCTTCTACTACGACGTCGCTGCAAATGTTCGCTGATAAGAGAGACAAAAACGACGCTAAAGAGACACCCTGCAGACTTTCCTCAGAACCTAAATTCAATCGGAAGACCTGTAAGACCTCACATAGGATCGAATGACCTGGAGAACAGCAGTAAAGATTGGAGCAGCAATTCCCGAGGCTGGCCAGATCGCCGCGGCCAAAGGCAAACGAGCGACCTGCAAGTCTAACACGGAGACTGCCACCGATGATGAGGAAACACCCGATGCTCAGCCACCGCCGCTGCCGACGCCCACCACCAACCCCACCATCAAATTCGCAACTCCCGCGTCGATAATATCGATGACTTCCACCACTCCCGCTTCCTTCACCTGCAAAAATACTGCTAACGCTCCACCGCCCACCATCGTAACCATTACCACCACCGTCCCTACTAAAAACAATATGGGCTCGATCCCAACCTGTCCCCGTTGCGGTCGTACCCTCATAGCATGCGTAGGCCGGGTCGGTCACTCGCGAATCCATCGCACTTAGACGGACAAACCAGCACCAGGAGCACCAACGTACACCCGCTGCACCGACCTCACCTAATTACACTGCTTACAAACATTCAGCCATCGCATGGGAATACCCTGCTACATGCATATCTACGGCGTCGAAATTCACCGCAATGTCGACACATCAAATCTACGAGGCACATTTGAACACTCCCCCCTCCCCGCCACCATCAGCGCTTTCAACTTCCCCATCCATTAGCACCAACACCTGCCCACCTCACCAGCCTCAACTGCTTACACTGCCCACAACATCCCGCGTCCTCGGTGCTCCATCCTTTGTGACGTCGAACTGATATGCCAGGGTTCCTGACTTTGATTCACTGGTTGCAGTACGATGGATTTGTAAGTGACCGACCAGACCGATGCGTTATTCAAAGTTTCGATTGCGACGGGGAGGAGTTGAAACTGGATTCACTCTGTTGGTTGGTGGGGAACTTTTGGTGATTGTGGGCGGGATGGAGGAAGTTTCCTTACTGGTGACATCATTGGCGGCGGTAGTGGTGGTGGCTCACGAGATGATTGGTGAGATTGTCGCTGCGACACTGCACTGGGTCCACAGATGTCCAACGAGACAGAGCATTGCTCGGAATGTCTGTTGCCATTGTGGACAAGAAGAATAAGTTTGGATGTTTGTGTAACTGAATCATGGCACATGAGTCACGAGGGTCCCATTTTGTCTTGCAAGCGACCATTCTGTTCGTTTCGAAGACGGCTTTGCACTACGTCTGCCGACTTGAGCGACGTCTCCCAGACATCCTGATTGAAGTTTAGATGTTTGAGGAAAGTGTTCATGGTGAACTTATAACTACGCTTTTGTCGGTCTTGTCTGTAGGCCATCCTAATAGTTGCATATTATAATTATTGCCCTAGTAGAAAAAGAATTGGTGCTAGAGCTGGGGTTACTGTTATAGTTGGGGCTAGGGTTATAGATAGGGTTAAGTTGGGTGTACGAGAAAAGGTACCCCCCTGAATTTAGCTGAAGGCCACCTGTTATACGGGGTTGCCCATTCCTGTCTCCAACCGAAATAGGTGGAGACAGATGCGGGCGAACTGGTTGGCTCGGATAATCCATATTCATGCGTGCCGTACAAGTGTCGGTCTCCACACGTGCCCTGAGCACACCTTTAGGTAGGGCTTCGAATATCACGCAGGAGGGAGGTACCATATAAACAGCATTGAGGAGTCATCTTAGTCTTATCTTCAATCTAAAGGAGAACAAAATTATCCTGTTTGTAGGCAACCTTTTAAGTAGCGATTATTTGCCTGCCGTCCTGGTTTAAAATGTGCCCGCTCCATCACAGTGAGGAGAGTTTACTCCAGACCTCGACTGGATTTCCCTCACTCCTTCTTCCTTCTTCCGTGCGCCAGTGGCAGGTCTGTGTCAAGCCGACTGGATAGGGGACTGATCCATTAGTTCATGTGTCGCGAAGCCTTCTGTATGAGCGATCCAAATACGCGTTGACCGCTTAACTAAAACAAACCAGGCTTCGAAATCCGCCTGTAACAGAATTAATTCTATGTTTTAAATCAGGCATAGACAGCAGAATTTATTTTAACCAATAGATTTCGCGACGGTTTATCAACTGCATCCTGTCGTGGCATAACACAGATAACAAGTGAGAAATATACAGATGTTTGAACTCCCACAGAGAAAATCACTATAAAACAGCACAGAGAAAATCAGTAAAAACAGCAAGGTCATCGTATACTGCGCATAGACTAATCAATAAAATGGCGACTTGAAAACGCAACATAGAAAAGAAAACGAAGATTTTAACACGCCGAGGGATTTCGCAAATCGAAAGGGCTCAGATGAACCAAGTCTAACTGGTTACATCGGCCGGGTTTCTCTCGCCGTATGTAGGCTGCCTCCTTGTAGCGCAGTAACCGAGTTGTTCGTGCTCGAACTAGTACTCGAAAAGATGTTTTGGTATCAATCGAATGATCGCTATCAAGCAGGTCCTTTGTAATAGAAGACCGTTGAATTTTATTTTCCTGATTTAGTAGCCATTTAGGCAGGTGCACAAATGACCCAGCTGCCAATTGCATTTGTGTTTACCCAATGTACTTGCATTCACAGGCGCGCGTGAATTCGTAAACACATTTAGACGTAGCGTGCAAGGCAATGCAATGGCAAGGCATTCTTCGTCCGTGAAACTTGGATAGCCTTATTGGGGCTGCAGAGTACGAGTTCAGTTGAGTTGTATGTCCTTTCAGTAGTGTATCTCAACTGCCGCTTGATGGTATTTGAGATGTTGTCGCCCTTAAAGGGTAAGCATATTACTACGGGCTTTTTGGGAACTGATTGCTACGTCAATTTTGGCCACAATGCGTTGCTGTATTTTTCGATTAACCGTGTTGGATATCCCAGTTTAAGCAGGGCTGTTTTGAGGCAAGGAATTTTAGCACCCAGTGTTTCAATAGCGCCAGTGTTTCTTGCTCGTTGGAATAGAGCGTAAACCAGATTTCGCTTTCGTTGTACCGGCACAGAGCTCAAAAGTGTGGGTATTGGCCTTTCCGTGTATCCTTGTAGAAAACCGATCGCCTTATAGAACCATCTTGCGGTCTGATCGTGAGGACAAGTAGGTAAGATAGCTTGTTACATTGCTCCATTTCCTTTGTGAATGTAATCTTCGGATGGAGACTAATCATGTCAACAAGTAGGTCTTCGGCTTCCTCGTTGTTACCAACAGTAGCAAAAATGTCATCCATATATCTTTTGTACAGTGTTTTCATAATCAATTTATCTGAAAACTGCGCTACTTGGAGGCAGCCTACGTACGGCGGGAGAAACCCGACCTATGTAAACAGTTAGACCACGTGGTGAACCTCAGCTTGCCCCGGTAGACCTGAGACCTTTTGGTTTGCAAAATCCCTCGACGTGTTAACTTCCCCGTTTTCTTTCCTATATTGCGTTTCCAGGTTGCCATTATATTGATTAGTCTACGTGCAATATCTGATGTCTTTGTTGTTTTATAGTGATTTTCTCTGTGGGAGTTCAAACCTCTGTATCTTTCTCACTTGTTATCTGCGCTATGCAACGACAGGATGCATTTGGTAAGCCGTCGCGAAATCTATTGCTTACAATAAATTCTGCTATCTATGCCTGCTTTAACTCATTCCGGGGAAATATTTCTTCAAGTTAGTTTTAGTTGTCGGCACAGAAACAATGCTAATATTTATTGGTCGTGTGCAGAACCGGTCTTTTTCATAACTAAAAGACCAAAAGACAGGAGTTGACAAGAGCACTGTGTTCTTTAAACAGGAACTTACATATCCCGCTGGCCCTCAATGGGTTGTGATTGTCGTACCGAGTTATCTTCTGGGGGCGACCGCTAGCATTCCTGTTTCGCTATTATGTTAAATCGAGGAAACTTTTACTAGACCGCAATTACTAACTTTAGCAAATGAGAAGAACTTTCAAAATAACGTTTATTATAGACAACTGTGGGCATAATTAGTAGTCTGCAATCAGTATGTTCGCCTACTTAGGGGAGAAGATTATGGTACTTCTTGACCACACTTTAATGAAAGTAGTGACTTACTTCTCGAGATAAATCTTTTCCGCACACGGAGGAATATTTATGTCAAGGATTTCGGATAAGTTAATCGAAGACTCGATAGCGGCACATTTTGGCTGACTGATTACTTCCACCCTCTGTTCGTTGGCTGGACTCAGAGGCATGCACCTATCTTTGCTGACGCTTCGGCTCGCTTAATACTGGAATTGGAGGTTGTTCTGCGAGTTATGTTGCCGGCAGGGCGGGAAGTTCGGCAGTGTCTGTCGCGGCGCACTTTCCTTGGTGATCGTGCTGAAGGCCATGTAGAAACCAGCGTTAGCCAAGGTCGCCTGAATGTACGTTAATCTCCTCAAGGGCTGTTCGCAGGTACTCTGAAATCCGTAATATTGTGACCTGCGTTAAAACAGCAGACCAGACCCCGCCAGCACACATCTCCCCACCATCCCATAAAGCACACACGAGCCCGTTCGAAACCATTCGCCACAGGCACGGAATAAGCGCCTCTCACGTAGGTGGACAGTGTGCTCTGTGGTCCCTTCTCTCTGTGACCTCTATAGCACTCTTACACGTATAAGGCTCAAGCCGCCCGCGCCATCTTTTTAGAAAATCCGGCGCGTCGTGCGGTGGCAGGTTGTTTGTGGCGCGCGCAGACGGGCCGTTTGGCTTTGTCAGTCTCTGCGTCCGATCTCGTCGCCGGTCTTGCTGCCTATTCCCTGACATCGAGCCGAGGAAGGTGAGTATGAAGAGCGTTCGACGGATGCCGCGCAAGTCTTCTGACACCACAATTTATTTCATACGCAATTCACGTCCTTGCGCCCAATATGTTTTGGGGCACATGGTGGACATTGCCGTTCGGGGCGGTCAAACTGCCACAAAAGTTATATAAAACATTCCCATTGACCGTATTTGTGCTCTTCGATCTGTGCAACCTCTTAAACACAAATCATTTCTGTTACCCAAAGAGTAACAGGGGTCTCAAAGATGTCCTCTGTGTTGTGTATGTAATTACGAAGAGGATTAGTATTAGCGACGACTTCTATGTTGTCTTCTTTGATTTTAACGAAGCTCACGGATTACTATTTGATAATCTAAACGTCTGCTGCCTGCTCGATGACGTTGCAATGTAGATCAAACGCTTCTTCCCTAACACCACCTTCCGAGAGGGCGGCCGTGCTGTAACACCTTACGAAATCCCTGTCTGCAGCTGCGTAACTGAGAGTTCTGTTCTACGGCCATCTCGTTTCCCATAGTGACCATATTACTTTAGCCATTTAAGTGGCAAACGCAAGACCTCAGAAGACGTTGCGTGCGCAATCTGCATGCTGAATTTTCTCAAAACTGATGGCCCTCTGCCAAATCATCAAAGAAGGTAAAAGTTAAACCGATATCCATCCACCTAAATTCAAGCTGTAATTACGACTGCGAGTTCCTGGGGCGCATTTACCATAAACGCCAGAGCAAAAAAGAAAGCAAAGAATTCTCAAGCGCATTACCCCTGCATCAAATATAAGTCAGCAAAAGCCGGGGACAGAGAGCACACAGGAAAGGGTCAACGAAGTCAGCGCAACAATCCGACTACTGCACCTGCCGATTAAATCAGGTTGGAGGGTACCATGCAAAGGGTGTGAGGGAAAATAGCAAAGCAATGCTTGGATTCCCCTAGGTTTTTCCAGAAAATTCGGTTTTATACATGATTTTGGTTTAGCAAAATTAAGGGGAGTACTTAAAACCCGCGTAGAAAATGCACCACTTTTGGGAAAAATGACGGGCGGCCGGGCTGACGGGGCTCTTGCCACATATTTATAGCAAAAGTATGGGAGGAAAAGGGCGGAAGTCGTTGTTGCTCAAACGAAAGTAGATGGGCAGGATTTACGGGACCAGACTGTTTGAAGACGTGGTGTTTACAACTCATATAAGTGCGGAAGATTGCAAGATAGAGGGCAAGGGAGAGACAGATATACCAGGCAAGATCCGCTTCACCCAACTGTACCATCGAAACGAAATCATTAGAAAATAGGCGGCCGATGTGGACTTTGGCTCTGACAGCACGAAAGCTGCTTGGGTTGAATTTCGCCGACCACCGAGTGAAGAGGACTTTGGGAGTTGAACTGAAGCCAATACAAAAGAGATTATTCGTTCAAATGCTAAAAACTGAACACAGTAGCTATAGGACTGAGTTCGCAGGTAAGAGAATCCTAAACCCCAACAGAAGCGACAGCCTTGTAATAGGTTATCTTAAGAGGTATGAACCAGACTTTGGATTCTATAAGCAGACGGAAACGTTTAAGGGGCTTTCGAAATTTCAGCATTTTTAATAAATTGACGGAGTTTAAGTCCTTACCTGCGCTGTAGTCAGGGCTCATGTCACTGGCCATAAAATTAAATTTTGAAGTCACTGTTTTGGTCCAGATACCGCTCAACTCGAAAACTGACATGGCTGAATGACGGTCAGTATTCAGAGGCATATACTAGTGTTTGAAAAGCGAATTGCGCATGTTACGAACAGAAAAGTGGTGCACCATAGCAGAGAATGCGGTAGTAGGACGAACCGCTGACACCCTAGACGAGTCTACAAAGCTCTGGCCAAGACGCTTCCAAAGAGCCCTTACAAGACGATAGATGCCTGTCTGCGCAAGGACTTGATTTTGGTGGCCTTAGCCATCCCAATATGCCTTGCCCCTTTCTCCACTTTCTAGGATATAAAATTTGCATGCAGCCAAGTAAAACGGATTGACCCAAATGTGATTAAACTCGCGTCGTCCGGCGGGGCCTCGTAACTCAAGTGACTAGAGCGTTGGCTGTACTAAAGACTTCCCCTTACTGTGTGGGTTCGAATCCCACCGAGCAAGCGTATGAACTGGTATGGTATAACAAGTGGTAGCTAATCGAAACAAGTCGATGGTTAAATCGCATCTTGCGGTGATTTTTAGAAATCTGTGCGAGTTTATCGTCCTTTCATATGTGAGCTCATGATCATTCCCCTCGTGTTAAACGGATGTTATATACTGAAGGAAATATAAGAGTCTCTTATGCAAGACCGCCATCATCACGTGGTAACCCTTTCTTGGCATACTGGGCCGCCAATTCAAATTACACTGATCAAGCGAACATGTATTTTTAATTATTTTTATGTTTGTTTATCTATAACAGCAGAAGTTCTATATCTTGCAGCATCGAGATGCTCTTCCACCTATGATTTCAATGGCTAGTTGTTTCTAAACTGAAAAATCCAGAAAGTTCAAGAAATAACGCTTCACAACTCAATCCTACAGATATTAACTTTTGGGAATGAGCTGCATGCATGTTCAAAAATACCCAACTTACTTTACTTTCAGGTGGCCATTGTCGATGCTTCAATACAACCAATTGTTTGGCCTTTTCATGTAATAAAAAGGCCTGGCAAGAACTTGGTGAAGAACATCAAAGAAATCGGGGAATCCCAGTCTGGAATTAAAGTCATAACTTCTTCCTACCCGAAAATCTTTGGACGCACTGGTCTGAAACTCCAAAGTCGACGCAACATTCATGATGATGACAACGAATACGGAAGTAGGAGAGTTTTGGCGTGTGGGTGTAACTGTATAAAGCTGATACAGTGAGGGAGAAAAGGGGAAGATTGGAGGACAAGCGCGTTTCTCGAGTTTACTCGAAGCGAATCGCACAAGTGTGCTCATACAAGCATGAAGCCGAAATGTTGGTGTGCGTTCGCTACTCTTGTGCTGGCACCCTGGATGTTGTAGGAAGAGTTATTCAAAGAAGAAGAGGGACGGCCGCATGAAAGACAAATTTTCAACGTTTTGGCGCATGCCTGCCACTGAATGTAGGCCCAATGGTGTGGATCCGAGCAAGGCGGATAAGCCGGGGTCGAATGAGGCTGGATCGCTTCACAGCAGGTGAACTCAGATCTGCGTTTTCGTCTGAGGGCGTAGGAGCAGCCTCCTGAGCCTGCAAGGGCACTGTGGCGGTAGTAGTGGTGATGGTGGCGGCGGCGGCGGCGGCGGCGGTGGGTTTGAGACTGAACACCTGTGGATCCGCGTGCGTGAATCGGCGTAGCAAGTGACTTACCATGGATTCAGAACTGAGACTTAGGCGCCTGCCTCTCTCACTGCCACCGAAGAGGTGAAGGCCATGATGGGAACCGCTAGAGGCGAATTTCTTCCTAGGACCGCACGGTGGCGTGACAGAGGGGCCCACGCCAGTGACAGGCAGGGTCAGGAACTTGCCAGTAGCGGTTACATCAGCATCTAACAGCGAATCCTCAGGAAGCGGGGTCGATGGGGCAGATTTTATAAAGAGGAGGGGCTGGGGTGAGGGCCTTGGTGTGCTAGGGCCACCGGAAAGATTTTCCAAACAAGGTTCGGGTGGGAGGGAGGAGAAGGAGGTGAAACATTGCAACTCTCCTTTTGGGCTAAGTGATGTGGAAGGGGATTCTAAAGAAAAAAAGTACAAATTTAATGACTCAAAAAGGCAAAATGACGGCTGAATTGCTGGCGAGAACGTAAAGCAGGTATGACTGAAAATCTTGGTTGGGGGCGGGAAACTGTAGTTGTCGGGGTGACCTCCCAGGCATCCCATTAAAATCGCGTGAAGATATTAAACCAAAATACTCATCAGCTTTTTGATTAGAACAGCAGCAAATACGTTAGGACAATGGAACATGGACGCCCTGTATAACAAGGAGAATAGCGCTAGCTTCCAGGGGGCTAAAGTTAATTTTAAGATTAGGGTTGAGACGCGGGTAAAGGTACCCCCGGGATCCAGCGTATGGCCCATTCAGTCCGCGGAGTTCTTATTCCAGTGTCAAGTCGCAGATCTTTAATGCAAGTGTCGCCAACCAACAAGATAAGGCAACAGACTTAGTAGGACACGGACATATGTATCTCCCGAACTACCTCGGGTCCACATGCGAATGGCCATTGTCATGAACAAGACACATGTCAAGGTCAAGTTTACGATTAAGCACGAGCAGAACAACGCGTTGCCTTCCTTAGATGTTCACGTACATGGCGAGCAGAGTATTCAATACAGAGACCATCTTATCGAAAAAACTGTGTGGGAAGAGCAGCACACACAATTCCCGAGTTTCGCTCTAACTAGGTGAAAAAGAAACTTGCATTTGAACTCATTTAATCGGATCAATAATTCTGTTCTCCAAAGAGGTTTGAGGACGATGCTAGATTCTCTAAATGCGTTTTTCAAAAAAATTTTACGCAAAGAGATGTATTTGTGAATATCGCCGATGCAGACCTGTAAATTCAACAGAAGTGTACGTGCCAAGAAGCTTATGAGTATCTATCTTTCTTTCAAGGGTCGTGTGTTAGACGCAATCAAACAGCGGTTACGGTCCATGATTGAACGGACACGCATTGCCACTAACATAATGATTATAAGTACGAAAATACTTATTTCACCTAAATCAGTGTAGAATATCTTGCCTGTGTGCGCCCTGTCGTATATTATCCGTGAGTTTACATGAAATTGCAGATGTAAATACATTGGGTGCACACGACGGGAATTGACAACTAGATTGGCCGGAGATATGTTGAAATGGCTGCCGAGTGTAGGGAATAAGGTAACGAGACGCTTAGTTATGAGGCATCTGGTGAGCACAGGTCACGTGGTGGATCAAACAAAAGCATTTAAGGTCTTATTTCAAGCGACGACTGGGCGTCTCCTGTCCTATTCAGAAGCCGCGTCAGTGAAAGTCTGTGGGGCAATAACAACATGCCCCCTCCCGTTCCCCTGCACCTAACGTTTCCCATGCTGTGCTGCCCCAAATTGCTCAACGAGTTGTAGTCATAATAAGAGCTCTTTTTCCTACACCAAGTTGCCCTCCCTCCCCCTACGCACCAAATCCATTGGCATTCTTTTTTTATTGAGCCGTTGGTTAAACGACTGTCCACTGTTGAACAAGAGGTTGCGAAAGTTTGAGCTTATTTTCCTAAAAATTACTTAACTTTCTTTTATTTGCCTTTTAAATTCTCCACGCTCGTCAAGCATTACTATTTTTCGAGGGCCCAAGTATGAAAAGAGTAGGCCTAGAGAAAATAAATCCAGTCAGATGACCCATCATAGGTCTAGACAAGATTAGTGACAACCTCCGTAAACCTTTGCTTGCCTCGGCTTCCCTGAGTCTCTGAAGACTATGCGTATGAAAGAGTAAAGAAATAAAGACGTTGCCTATGCGAGCAAATGGTCTTCAGCTATAGGCTGAGATTTGGACGGTTTGCCGCGCCAAATGTAGAGTTTTGGGAATCTTGCGAAATCTACCTACTCCTGTATACTTCGGCAACGTGGAGAGAAGCTTGAGTCATAGTAGTAGTAGTAGTAGCAGCGATAGTGATGGTAGTAGAATTTATAGTCGCCGGATCAACATTATTCCTGTTCGTACTGATAGTAATAAAGATGGTCGCAGCGTTGGTGATGATGTTAGTAATATTATTAGTAATGTCAATGGTTGTGATGGCAGTATTAGTAGTGGCAGTAGTATTAGTAGTAAGAATAGTGACAGAGACAACTCCATGTGTGATGGAGCCTTTAATTGGAAGACGTGGTGCGCAAAAGAAAAAAATGAACTGCAGCGGTGAGAAAGAGCATGGACAGCGGTCTTTCAACCGGAACACATATGAGACGACAAAATCGGTGCATTTTTGCCCACGTTAGATGAGTAATGAGCAGTTAACCACGTACAGACACATACAAAAGGCCAAAATGAAAACACCGAGTTCGTGAGATGCATGGTTGCGAGCTAGGAGGGGCGGATAAGGCCTCATTCATACACGTGAACGTACACACATACTTGCTAGAAAGATAGTGTAGTAGCGTATGTGCGTGTATTTAAACCAGGCTAATATATTTTACGGGACCGAAAGTGTACATGCGAAGTCTGGTTCTCTTAAAATAGTGGGAAACACAAAACCATCCTTCCAGCTGCCCAATCAAAAATAGACAAAAATAGACTGTAAAGGTACGAGCAACACAAAAGACTGCGTCTCGAATTCGCTCAAGGGCTTTTAGTTGAGCTTATTCGATGCAATGATCTAGGAAGTGAAGCGTATACGTATTCATATCCTCCAGGAAGTTGTCGATACAGTTTAAAGGCACGTGGGCCCTATGCACTGTTTAAAGATGACGGCCGACTAATGATATCCGCCCTATGAAATTTACTACTTTCACCGTAGCTTGCTGAGACAAAAAGTCGTTGTAAAACACGGACACTTTTGAAGATAGTTACGTGCGGTTAGCTGTTTTGCACTATAGGTGTCAGATTCTAGAAGAGCAGGAAATACGAGACGAGAGGCCCTGCTTGTTAGCTGATACTACGAGTCGTTAAATAAGGCCTCCTCGTCGTCAGCACCTTACGGATTAGGCCCCACATAAGGGCTGGGCGGAACTAGTGACCTTTTCCGTAGAGTATATACCGAATGTCTATGACGTCACACTAATTGCGAAATGGGATTAGTGCTTGCTGTCCGGGAGCATTATGGCGTTCGAGCCTCCTCCAGTGGACCGGATGTCCGGTATGAGAACTTGAATTCTACGATTAAGAAAAAAACATTTGCATTTTCTGCTGAAGTA